CCCAAAAAATTAACGAATGATGACACCGACACCGACATACACGCGAAAAAATTAACGACAACAGAAAAAAAGGCGGATAGTGCCAGAAAACAAACGAAATAAACTTTTAGGACAAAATGATTTTTTATTTTGGACGAACTACGTAAAGAAAAATGATATGTAGGGATAACATTTACCTTAAGCCTAATTCTTTGTCAATGCACCTATCCCAGAACATCTCAGCATGCTTAACTCAACCTTGACAAGCTGCAGGAAGGCGAGATGTCAGAGTATCTGCTTGTGTCCACTTTAGGGATTTCAGTAACTGAATCGAAGTCAATTATCTTTTCGATGTCGCCATATTGATAAGCTACATCTTCCATTTGTTCTTCAATAATGTAGTAGCCGCTTGGAGGTATATAGCTAATGTAATCCATGTTGATTTCTAAAAGATTTAGTGCCAAAAAAAAATATAAATCGTCTAAAAACTTATTGCATTTAATCCCAAAAAAAAAAAGTAACCCGTCCCAGTTTCTATTTTCAAATTGTCCCAAAAAAAAATAGTGTCTCGAATTTATTTACAAGCCGTACCAATTAAGACTAAAATCCTGTATACGAAGTTTTTTTCTCATCCAAAACTACAACAATATATTATGTGATATTAATCAAACAGTTGCCGAAGTGGAAGAAGATGAGGTGGTAAAGGCTCTTTCGCGCTACGCTTTATTTTCAGATAACATATATAAAAAAAAAAAAAAATTCAGTACCTATTTCTTCAGATTTTTGAGCACTCTCAACACATTTTTTCTATTTATCTTGGGAGGGAAACAACAGCGAAGAAAGCCAGTTGAAAGTTGAAGAGCAGTTGGCCGCCTCATCTTTTCTTTCCACTTCGGCAACTGCTTGATTGGAAGTCATACTTATCCCAATCATTGTTGCCTCCGTTCCAGGTTCCGATGAGGTGGTCACGTTATCCGTAGTAGAAAAAAATGGTGTCGCTGATTGCTTGGTTTTCTTGAAATTTGTTGAAAAGTTTACAATAGTATTTCTCGAAGGCGTCCAAGTTGCTTGACCAATTCGCATGTTTCTTTAGTTGTTCAATCTTATGACCCTGCATTACTGCCCACGTATTTGCTGCTGCTCTCAATGAATGTGCTTTGTATACCTTAGTATCAATGCCAGCTTCTTGCATTGCTTGTTGTATCCATGACGCCGTGGCTGCTGGTTTGCTGGAGTGTACTTGCTCGCCCTTCTCAATCTCTGCCAGGAATAACGTGTGGTCGTCTAGCAAACCATGACGTAGACTTGATGTATAGTCCATAAATTCTGCTAAGGTTCTCATAGGACAATCACCTTCTTTTGCTTGCTCTGCTGTTCCAACTTTTATTGTCTTCCATTGGCTTTCTTTTGATTCTCTTGATGTTAAGGATACTCCAGGCGGTTGTCCGCCTTCCAACCAGGAAAAAGCTTCGTCTCTATACTGTAGTCTACCAAGGTACGAGCGAGGTCGCATCATAGACACGATGCCGATCCAGACAATTGTTTTCTTTTGCAATCTCGCTAGGTCCAAGCGTGCATTGGGGCTCCATTCACGGAAATAGGTCATCAGCTGCTGTATATCCCAAATCTCTTGTTTTCCTATGGTTGGTATCTTCACTTCTGATTTTCGTTTGGCTTGAAAAAATAAGATAATCAGTGGGTCTTCTGCAATATAGCACTTGCCTTCATAGATAATATTGAATACGGAGGCTATTGGTGATCGATAGACATCTAAGGTCGGTGCGAACAGATGTGTATGTTCATGCAAGAAGTAATACACTGATTTTGGATCATAAGCTCGTGAATCTACTCCATGCTTATTGCACTAATTTGACCAAATTCTCCAGCTATAATCGTATGCTTTGTGTGCCTTTTTCCTTGCAAACTGCGTCAAAAAATCTACATCTTCAATCGTTAATCCTTCTGTCATCCTCTTTTGGAAGATAACACCTATGCGACTAAGGACTATTTGCGATGGATCCTCATTGACATTGGTGTCCTCAGTTGTCTCATCCTCACCAATAGGCTCCACTGATACTGAGTTGGCCACAGCGGTGTGATCAACACTGCTTCTCTGATTTTGTCTTCTTTTATCTTCTTCAGAATCTTTGGGACTGGTTTCCATGGTGGATTTAAGTACAGTCACTTCTTTGGCCACTTTTGATGAAATGCGTCGATTGCTTGTGCATTAGGATCCGGGAGTTGGCTCCAGTACACCGGTGGTTTCTTGTTCTGCCTCGCTGCAAACGCATCTATCTTGAACTTGCTGAATCTCATTGCTTCCTTAGATGGTTGAACCATTTCCATGGTAACGCCCACTCGTACAGAGGTACCTTCTTTCGGCTGAGACGATCTGTCATTGTATTCTGAATTCCAGAAATGCGGTGATAGACCAATCTCACGTCGTATTTGTTGGATTTGAATCGCCAGTTCTTGAAGAATCTCTGACGATGCTCCCCTTGCCTTGTTCACATGCTTCAATGCTGTTGTATTGTCCAAGTATATCTGTAGGACCGAGCCCTTGTGCTGTGGAAGATGAACTTGCAGCGCAAACAGGAAGGTTTTTAACTCGTGAACATTTATGCTGTCTTCTTTTTCTTCTGCGGACCAAAACCCTGCTATTTGAACTGAAGCTGAACTTACTCTCCAACCGGAGCCGGAAGTGTCGACGTAGATGGTTAGATCTGGTTTTAGTGGTTTGCATTGGATTGGAAGACTATTTTTCAATGGTGTATCTCTGTTGACGTCCAAATCCTCTGTTACTGTGATTAAGTGATTGTTGCTGTTGTCTAACTGCATTTCTAAAGATGGGCTATTCGTATCTGGCTTAAAAGATTCTTTCAAGGCCAAGGCCTTATCACTAGGCTCTTCTTCCAAGTGCTTGACGCTGTCGGGGAACCTGAGCGCCTTAATCACCATTATCCTAGCTTCACTTTTGGTGGTCTTATTCGTGGCGTATGAGTAAACTGCGAGTTGTCGGGTGCCTTCCATGATGTGAAAGAACTGATCTTCACTTCCTCCTGATCCAAGAAATTGTTGGCATTCTTCGTAAAGGCTTGTCGCTGCTCTTCCCGCGATGATGAGTCGATCAGCTCCCTTGTATACTGCGTTTGTGCTTTGGAGGGCATCCACAGTTTCCTTTTAAGTTCTCTGTGGAACCCTTTGTTGAAGATCTTACTGTTGGTCCATTCACTACCTTCGTTCTTTGGAAGGTTCTTAACAAATTCTTTGATGTCCTTCTGTAAACTGATGGATGAGTTGTTGTTATAAGCTAGACATAATATAGAATAAATTGTGCTATAAAGCTTAAGCAGCATCATCCATTAGGACAAGGTTTACCCATGATCTGCCATTGAATTATGTGATAAGGAATAAATACTTTATATGAATTAATTGTATTAGAAGTCCTAGCTTGAATAAATCCAATGATTGACATTAAGTCGCATTGAGATATAAAGAGAATCTAATGATCTACAGATTTTATAATAGAACTTTTCTTCATTTATGATAATATAAACCTTCATACTATTTTATTCTACAAAAAGACTTGTAAAGGTTCCTCGGATCAGTATCTCTCCTCACTGCCTAGGTTTCATATCTATCTTTAACAATTGGTCAGGCACATGATGATGTGTCGACTGAATTGGCAAAGTACTTTCTTATCAAATGAGATTTTAGATAATACATTTCTACGTGAGATCGTGTTATTCTCAGCATCCAGAGTTTAGTCACCATCTAAATATTGTGAATTAACCAATGAGCAGTACTAACTCGATAGAAGATCTCCCCAAAAGCCGTGTATCTCAAAAAGTATAAATAGAGCCCTTTATTCCATGTAATTTGTTCTTCATCTAACTTTCTCCTAATAAAGCATTTCAAAGTATTTCCTTGTTTGTTTTATCTGTTGAGAGAGCTACCCTATCACAGTTGTTCTCCAGTTATTCCAAGATTTCGTTTGGAAGGTTTGTGGGACCTTCACTTGAGCTGTCAAGATTGGGTTTTCTTGACATTTCCTCAATGATTTGTTTGACTTGTTCTCTTGTAAACAATTGTTCAGATTGATCATTGGACATATTATTACCACGGTGCGCGGCGCGAAAAAGATCTAAAGAAATAGGAACCGAAAAAGCTTTTTTATTATATATTATATGAAAATAGAGCATGGCACGAAAGAGCCTTTACCATCTCATCGGAACCTGGAACGGAAGCAACAATGATTGGGTTAAGTATGACTTCCAATTCAGAAATAAAAAAATTACCAATCGATGCGGAAAAGCGAGAGGAATACGATGCAATTAAGAACAGAAATGGATGGATGGAATTGATCGAGATGTAGACAAGAAACAGCATGAATTCAAACAGAAAGTGATGGATACGCGAAAGAGCTTCCCTAATTCAAAAACTTAAAAACAAAAATGACAATTTTATAGATGCACAAAAGCTGGATATACTTCACTTGGGGCGGTCCGATAGTGCCTCCTGTTTTATATTATCAAAAAGACAGGTCAATGATTTTAGGACTCTTTTATTAGATAATATAAAGCTCCCGTTCAAAGGGTATTTAGAATCAGGGTATTTATAGTCAATGATTTGAAAGTCTACTGCATAACTTGTGTCTACACGCTTGATGAATTTACTTGTGGTTGATTGTGATTCTAACTGCTCTGCTTTCTACATTCTTTACAACACCATGTTGTCTAAGGGGTCACCGTCGGGGATCTAACTAGTGGATTTATTCTTTGACGTGCTAATTCTATTGTTGATTACAACGCCTCCTAGCAAGGCGCAAATACATGCTTGCGCTGGCCTGTCTTGTCTTGAGTAGATGTGCTTGCGCTACTTATGATAACTCCATATATGTGCAAAAAGCCGGATATACTTCATTAACACTTTCACTTGGGGCGGTCCGATGGTACCTACTAGCAAGGTACAAATACATGCATGCTTACTAGATTCCCTTGCATTGTCTTGTTTTGCACTGGCTTGTCTTGCACTGAATTATTTTGTATACACATTTGTTCAAGATTCCTGTTCTACTGTGTCAGAGAATTGATGAGTTGAATACATCCTTGTAACCGGGCCCTAAGCCATTAACATGGCTAAAAATGTTAGCACTGTTTGTAAGTTATTTTAGCTCTCTGCTACTTAAATCGCACTTTTAGCAAACTGGGTGATCGCGCTTAGCAGTTTTCGAGCCATCTACGTTGCAGTTTCGATTGTGTTGCGAGGTATTAAGATAAAAGCAAAAAATGATACTTTTTTTTTTATGAGAAAATCCAGTTTTATTTATTTTCTAGTCAGTGTCACAATGAGGGAAAGGTAGGGAGTAACTATACGGATACCATCTTTTTTCGCACACCAGTCATTTGACCGCAAATTGTACTCTTTTTTTCTTACGCATGGTGAATAGAGTGGATATTATTGGGTGGCCAAACACCCGACTTTAAGGAGGCAGACGTTCGGTATGTTTATGTTTACCTATTTAAAATATTTGCGTGTGTAAATAATGATAGGATTAGAGATTACGGTGGATTTAGAAAGGTAGCTTTAGCTAGTCTTCATGTCTGTCATGAATAGTTTGTTAATATTTTTCATAAAAACAAAAGTGAATTTGTATTTAAAAGCATGTACTCAATGTATAGTTAAAAGGGACATTTGCGTAGTAAATAAACAAATATGCAAAGTAATAGGGAGGGAAGGTATGCAAAAAATGATGTCCGTGTAATCACCTAAGACTGTCAAAAAGTGATGCTGCAATTCAATAAAAACTTGCTGTCATAGAAACTAATTCAGCACTTGTTTCCTTCAAGTTTTAAGCTTACAATATGATTGCTTATCCTGGAAAAGATGGTATAGAAACGCAATAAGATATCAGTTGCTATATTAAAACTTGTTTTCATAGAATTATACACAATGGTGGAAAATATCAAAAAACCATTGTTTTCAGCGTTCATCAATAAATACGAAACGCAGGTCGCTGAGTGGTCTTCAAAAACATCAGCTACAAGTAGTCGAGAGCTGCATAGAATATGGGCCTCAAGATTTAATGATGCGGTCAGAGAAACAAGAATAGACATCGCGTTAAAGTATGACATTTTCCTGACTAACTGATAGTTTGATTTTGAGGTCTAATGACTTTTTATTTTTGGAAAAATGGCAGAAATCAGAGGTACATACCATCGAAGTGGGACATGTTGTATGAAGAATTATCGATCCTGGTAAGGCCTAAATAATCAATCGCTCTAGTTATAGCGTTGTCTAATATTTTGGCTGCTGTGGTATAGAGAGACATGAGGCAAATAAGCAGAACAGAAGGACAAAAGCTGATTAATAAGAGCATGGAATATGCCTCAACAAGATCATTAAGACTTTTGGAGAGCTTTAGTGTAGAAGGCAGCAGTAGAAGTGTTGTAGTTGATGCAGAAGGTATACGCAGGGAGGAGACCGAGAGTGAAGATGTTGACGGCGAAGAAGAAAAAGACCATGACGAAGAAGAAGAGGAAAGCATGCCAGTTGTCGACCGGCTGTACATGCTGTACTATAAGAAGGTAGTATAAAAAGCTTTTGGAGTACTCTACTACTCTACTGTGCTAACTGATAGTTATGTATATACCTCAGTTTAAAAATGAGGCGTTTGAAGATGAGGAAGACGCTTTTCTAGCTGATGTTGTGGACAAGAAGTCATGCATCCAAGCGAAATTGTTTGGCTATGCAAGCAAGTTGCTGTTGAAGAAGGATTTAGATACACAAGAAGACATGATGCTCAAGTATGATTATCTTCTTAAAGGCGTTAAGATGTTGGTCTGATCAATTGTATCTCTTGTTAGGCTATCCCTTTCTAGTATCATAAACATGCTTCAGCCCAGCGCATATGAGACACTAAAAAAGATCTTTAACAAGAAAGAGATGGAGACACTTGAGAGTTCAGAGCCAAGTATATATATTGGACTGTCAGAAGAAGACAAAATGCTGTTGAAGAGAGTGATTAAAAGGTAAAGCTTAGAAAAGAATGAGCTGACCTTGCAATACAAATCCTTAGAATAACCCTTGTCTGTTATAGTGGAGACAAGGGGAGCAACACAGACAACATGATGGACGAGATACTGAGCGAGCAACTTCGACTTAGCAATTTACGAATGAAAGGCAGCGACACCTACAAGATGCTGGATATCTTGAGATATATGTAAGCTGGAAGGCTGAGACACAATAACCCTCTCTGTTGACGTTTGTTTTATTTAACAGGATTGACAGCATCGACCAATACAATGAGAGAGACAGTGAGCTGACGGCATATCGCCATTTTGCCAAGCTTTTAGACTGCTTGTTTCGAGAAACAAACTTGATGTTGGAGTATGTAGAACATTATTCATACGTAATGACTCTTGTGCTTTTTATTAATTTTGAAATTTTAAACTCAGCGGTGAACCTGCTTGCATAGCTGCCAAAGAAGAAATAATAGCCACCCACTCCCTTTATCCTTCGGCAGAAGGTAATGCACTGTCAACTTGTAGCATAAGAAAAATTGATGCCATTATTGCTACCGAAGTCAAGAAAGAGCGTGTTGAGCTTTCGACCAACGAGTGGAAGAAGAACAATGTGAGCTTAGCAATAGCCTTCAAGCAGCAATCAAAAAACTTACGTTCTAACCTGTCCATTTTGAATCAGCTGGAACGTAAGTTCAATATTCAGACCAAGAACATCTTGGCCATAGATTTCCTTGGTAAGTATTTGTGAGCATTATTTATTGTCTTCAAGACTTTATAATGTTAACAATATTTGATGCATAGGCTACGATGGCTATCTTTATAGTCTCGAGAAGAAAGAAGGAGTTGCTGTGGCAACTTTGGTGGAAGAGCTTGTACTCCCAAACAAGAAGTCGGAGATCGAGTATGTCCTCCAGACAATCAATGCTCTGTTTATACTAAAGGTAAGGCTGCTTTGTCGCTTTTTCTACTCGCGAAGCTCATCCTTTTCTCACTTGAAAGAATCATGTGCTCAAGCTTGCGGAAGAAGTTGAAGACCAAGCACCAAGAAGAAGACCGAGGGGCATTATTCGACGAAAAGAATCTATGGCAGCTCCTTGCCAAACCCCTCGGGTGATGTTTTCACCTAAGTTGAAGAAGAAAAACTAAATGAAGAAGATCGACAATAAAATGTTTGTAAAAAGTAAAGAATGTTAAATACTATTTTATCTTCAGCAACATGACTATAAGTCGCTTTCAATTTCGCAAAGTTTTGCTTCCCTTCTGTTTAGTAGGTTTGTTTATATATTTAATTGCGCCTTTGTTAAGTTTACTTGAGTATTAATCCTATGTATTTTGACTCCAAAAATAAGCCTAGCAGCAGTAGCATCCATAAAATCATAAATGTTATCTGTAAATAAGACAAACAATATTTGCTCGGGTAAAGGAACGTACTGGTATTGAAGCAGTGGAGATTAAAAAAAAGTTTTTTCTATTCATCTTCTTTACAGCCAAAAAATGTTAAGCTGTTTGCCGCATTGACTCTGCTGCAGCGATGTGCATCGTCAATCAGTCATGTTTTCAACAGCAAAAACGAATTAGAAATGGTTTCTTGCTTTAACTTGCTTAATGAGTACTTTTTTGTATTGATTATGGTATATGTCTCTTTTCTTAAACTACTTGATTAGAATATAAAATGTATTTGTGTTTTTTGCTTGCCAAGGTAAATGTCCAACTAATTACTGTAAGAACTTTAAAAGCCGCTAGTGCTGGTATGCGTATCCTTGTTTTCCTTCTATTGTTCCTATGTATTGGCTTTATCCAAAAGTCAGAGATGACATTGACAGCCTCAGCCTTGATGTGGACGATTTGCAGCAGAAAGAAAAATCAATAAATAAATTCATTATTACAAGTAAAGCAAACGTAGTATATAGCTACAAGCAAAACTGTGCCAAAAAAAAAGACCCCTTTGCTCAAGAGCTTCATCGAACCGTAATGCAATTTGGAAATAAATGCAACACGTACTATTATTATTATTATTTCTTGTGTTTGTCAGACATTATATATTAACGCTTCAGAAGGAAAAGAAAAGGATGGGAGAAAAAAAAAAGAGAGATAACATGCGTGTAAAAGCAAATGTAAATGTAAAATCAAAAATAAAAGCAGAAGCAAATATAAAGGGAATAACTTATTTCAAGTGGTTAGGCGCGTTACAGAACAATATCTTCCACATGTATGCCTCAGAGAGAAGCAACTCAACGTCCTTCTCTTGCCAGCCCTAAGTAGACAGTTGCTGAAGAAGATTATGATACCCTGAAAATCCAGTGTCTGCACAGACATAAACGTAACACTGTAGGAAATTTTAGCGGGGAGTTCGAATTAAAAAATTTGTATAAATGTGTATATTTTTATATAAATTTATACAGCTGTATACAGTTTTATACACTCAGAAAAATAATGTTCAGCATTTCGCCTATATTCTTACTATAGTAATTATACTTTATACATTATATACAACAATTAAATGTAATAGACATTATGTTTAATAGTTTATGCTTTATTGATATACATCATAATTGAAATTACACTCTAATTTGATTTACCTAACTTTATTTTTTTGGCAGTACGTTTACCTATATTTAAATAACAATTAGTCTAGCTTCTTCACTTCAATACAGTAGTTTACAGCATACCTTTATTATTACTACGACGCTTATTCGTATCATTTGATGTTAATATACTTGCGGCGTCGATAGGCCTGACATCACTATAATGACAAGTGTAGTAATGCTATACCTTATATTTTAGATTCTTAAAGTTTATTTGATATCGCTGTCATCACCCTCATTACTTTCTTCATGAAGAGCGCTTGCAGAAGAAGACGATTGGTACGAATCTCGGTCGTGAGCAGTATTGTCTTGAGATGTTTGATCTTTAAAGAGTAAAGAAAAAATTAGTTGTTTCTTATTTCTGATTGATATAGTTACCTTGCTCATTGCTGAAAGCAGCAAAATACCTTCACTGTATCTTCAAAGTACCTATGCCTTATGAATACTCAAAAGCTTATTGGCTCAGCTAAACAAACAATCCTTTTTTTCAAAGAGCGTCATCTTTGCATTTTTTTTTTTTTTT